CAGAGAGGGCTTTGGTCATACGCTACAATTTGGAATATTGAGATTTCATCATACTTTGAATTTTGATTTTGATTTTGATTTTCCTTCAGTATCATATTGAGCTGTAATTTTGATTGCATGAACGCCTCACTATTACATATCTAAAAAAATACATAAAAAATAATTTCTAAAAAGTAAAATAACTAAAATACAATTAGGTTGGTCCCTTCATTATTTCAAATTTTTTGATTTCTTTTGGGGCATGAGCAGGAAAAATCGAACTGAAACCGTTATTGGACATGGGTTGGATGCAATTCAACTGGCCTAACCGGTAAATCGGTCGGCTCAACCGTCTAATCGGACAAACCCCGGGCGGTAAAAAAAGTATTAAAAAAATATAATAAAATATATAATAAAATCTAATAAAATATAAAAATATATTTAAACAATGATTAAACAAAACACATCCAAATGTAGTAGAAAATTAATGAAAATATAGACTTTAAAGAATCAATTTGTACTCAGGGGTATTTTTATAATTTTTAAAAAAGATGGAAAAATGCCAAAAACAGTTTCAAATCTTTGCCAAAATGATTAAAACAACAAAAACATTTAAAAATACATTCCAAACAAAATCCCTTATTTTTTAAGATTTGCATATTTTTTATATTTTTTTTTAAATATATGACCAGTTCAGTGGCTGGTTCCGATTTAACTAAGCTAATCGGGTGGTTAGAATTTAAACCGCCAAATTTTTCCTACACTACTCATTTGTTGGGTTTGGCGATAGCTAAATCTCCATACTCATATTTTCTTCTAAAAGATAAAGGGTATTATTGTAAAACAAAATGTAATTTTCTTGGAAAGCAAGAAAGTGAAATCTATATAAGGGAATCAAAGAAGACATAATGCCTATCCTTTTTAGGGTCTCCCATTAGGAGGGTTATGGGAATGAATCTCCAATATAAAGATGGGCTTCCAAGAAAGAGCGACATGGCCTTTGAGAGAGAGGCGGTATTCTCATGAGTTTTGGATTGGCTAGGGTTTTACTTCTAAATAGATAAAGTCTTTCGGTTGCTCTCGAGGTTATCATTCCGATAGCAGTATTGCGGTGGGAAAGAAAGTGTTGATTGACGGTGTTGCTCAATCGAGAGTGGGTTTAGAAGAGAAGATCGATGATGGTTTTTTACCGATGTTTTGAAAGAGGCATATCTCTTGTAACCCAAAACTGTAATCTTCATTGTGATATTAGATTTATAATTGCCGAGGCCGTGGATGTAGCCTTACAAAGTGAACCACGTAAATCGTGTGTTGTTGTGAAGTGTTTTTTTATGTTTGCTTTATTTCTGGCACTCGATTTATATTTGCATTCATCTACTTCGCATTTAGCCAATTGAGTATACGATCTTAGGTACGATCCCGATATTTGTATTCCCGATTCCGCAAGCAAGGTTCCCCCAAGAACCCTACAATTGGTATAAAAGCATAAGGTGTGTATGGGGCTAAGGCTTGCATTAAGAAAACGATGAACAATGGAGTTTGATGGATACATGGTTTGAGGTGGAGAAATATGAAGACAAAATATTTGTGAAAATTCTACGATGGAGACAAGTGAGAAAAAATCAAAAAATCTATTCAATGAAGGTTGCCAAGGCAATTGTAGTGATTTTTCTATCAAGGTGGAGCTTGTTGGGTTTGGTGACAACCAAATCACTATACTCATATTTTCTTCCAAAGATTAAGGGTATTATGAAAAATAAAAAATGGAAACAAAAAAGTGATATATTTATAGGAGAGTGAAAGAAGACATAATACCCATCCTTTTGAGGGTCACCCTTTGGAGGTTATGGGAGTGGATCTCCAATATGAAAATGGGTCTCCAAGAGAGAGAGACATAGCCTTTGAGAGAGGCGGTATTCCCATGAGTTTTGGGTTGGCTAAGGCTTACACTTTTAGAGATAGAAATTCTCTCGGTTGTTGTCGATGTTATCTTTTCAATAGCAGTATTGTGATGGAAAAGAAGGTATTGATCAACGGTGTTGCTCAATCAAGAGAGCGAGTTTAGAAGGGGATATCGGTGATGATTTTTTACCGATGTTTTGAGAGGTATATATCTTGTAACCCAAAACTGTAATCTTTATTGTGATAATGGATTTCTAATTGCTTAGACCGTAGATGTAACCCTATGAAGTGAACCACGTAAATTATGTGCTGTTGTGGTATGATTTTTATGTTTGTTTTAATTCTCGCATTGAATTTATAGTTATATTCGTCTACTTTGCATTTGATCAATCATGTATACGATCTTTAGTGAAATTTCAGCATTTGTGATTCGCGGTACCACAAGTGATGGGTTCTCGAGAACCCTACGCTCATTTCCTTTCGATGCTCTCTCTCTCTCTCTCTCTTAGTCCCACTAGACAACTAACCAAGTTTCTCTAATTTTGTGAGGACTATCCATATAAGTCTTTATCCCTATTTGTAGTGAATTCCTTTGTTCTATCTTAAGTCTTAAGTCCAAGAGTTGTCTAATGTGATTACTTAAAATATGTCTCTTTTTCTTCCTACACGATACTCTCCTCTCTTACTCTTCCCTTCCCCTTTTCACATATCTCATTACTGTAGAAAATATTGAACCGGGGTGAATCACACATGACCCCAAAAGCGGTTCAACCGACATAACCAATAAATAGGTCGGTTCAACCAGCATAACTAGGCAAGTCTTGGCAGTCAACAAAGTGCTAAAAAAATATAATAAAATATGAAAAGTATATTTAAAGAATGATTAAACAAAACACATTCAAAATGAAGTTGAAAATTAATAAAAAAATATATATATAATTTAAAGAATCAATTGTGCTTAGGGATATTTTTAAAAATTTTCAAAAAAGATGAAAAAATGCCAAAACATTTTCAAATCTTTGCCAAAATGATAAAAAAAATTTAAAATACATTCCAAATAAAATCCCTTATTTTTTTGGATTTTGTATATTTTTTTAATTTTTTTTAAAAATACCTGGTTGGTTCACCAAAACCATAACCAGCCAATGGTTGGTTTCGATTTAACCAGGCAATTAGACTTTGAACCACCTGATTTTTCCTATATTGGGGCAAAGTACACATCCCTAAGGGTAAGAATTTTCCGGAATTGGGCCTAGATCCAAATCCGAATCCAAATAGATCTAGATCAGATCGAACCTTGAATATCCAGATTCAGATAAAAATCCAAATTATATATAGGATCCGGATCCAAATTTACTTCCATATTCACAGAGACCGAGCTCACAATTTGCAACATACAAAGTTAATTCACAAGTTTAGAATAAATAGAAACAACAGAAGAAGATAAAAAGCACTAATAATAATGTAACTGAAATAGCACACAATCATATAAATCAATTTATCGACAGCTACTTCAATCAACACAAATCTTTAAAATGAATTAAGATGATATCAACAAGAGCCTGCAAGAATAAACGATGCCTTGCCACCTCCTCTTTTGGATTCTCAATGCAAACAAAGCTACAAAAATTCACTACTATGAAACCCTCTTCCTTCATAGCGTAAAGCCAAAGCCTCATTTTATGTTGCAGAGCTCCGTTGGATCCGATTTTGAAAATCCATATATTTTTCTGTTGCTGAGCATTGGAAGCAAAGCCCCTGTAAATGGAGAGATTAGGGCATGTTTTGTGGTTGAAAAATGGCGAGCTCCTGAACAGAGTGGCTTTGCAACAGAATATGTTATTAGAGAAGGATTTAGGACAAAAATGGTGGAAAAAGTGCCTCCCCTCGTCAATATTACTCAGCCATAAACTCATCTCAATGCAAAATAAACCATTTGAAAGAGAGAGCGAGAGAGAGAGAGAGAGAGAGAGGTAGGTGAGAGAGAAGTAAGTAGTAGGTACGGTTAGACTAATAAGTAGGAAGGTAAGTCGGTCCTACTAGTAGTTAAGTTAGTAGTACCTTACCCTAAC